AACCTATAGCAAACATGTATGAAGTTGACTATGGTGCAATGTACGAGCCATAATTTGTGGATATGCCTAATGTCGGTGACTACGAATTTAACACATCAATAAATGATGGTGAGTTATATAAAGGAATTGAGCTTCCATGCAAAGAAGAAGTAATGATGACAATTAAGAATTGCAATATTTGGAGTTATGTTCAGTCCAGAGTCGACCGTTCCACCATCGAAAAGTATGTCTATCACTGTGTCCTATGTGATAACGGATGCAATTGGATGGTTCACATATCGAAGAGTAAGATGAAAAATAATATATGAGAAGTAACGGTATTTAATGTCCTCACACATGCTGTGCTGGAGGGATCAACTAGGATCATCCCTATTTGGACTCCGACATTATCTGCAAACCATCATGCCCATGGTAAAAGCAAGTTCCCATATAGCTATTGTGGTGTTGCTTTCAGCTATACAATCGCAGTATGGGTATACAGTCTCATACAGGAAAACATGGAAGGCAAAACCAATGTTATTAAAAAACTTCTCGATGAATGGGATGCATTTTACAACGAACTAGGGTAGTGCGCAAATTGAATCATGGGATAATTCTCGACTTCAAAACTTTCCATGCATACCACAATGATCGAGTACTTCGCGATCGATGTCAATTTTATCAGCTTTTTTGGACTTACCTATAGTGCATTAATGTTATGAAATACTACAAGCCCATGGTCCAAATCGACGGGACATTCTTGTATGGAAAATACAAGCAAGTTTTACTATTGGCAGTTGTTCAAGATGGTAATCGCAACATTCTTCCAATTACTTTTGCCCTTGTTGAAGGAGAATATATAAATTCTTGGGTTTTTTTCCTTAAAAACTTACTCTAACATGTTGTCACGAGGGAAAATATCTATGTCATTTCAGATCGCGGAGCTGGGATCAAAGCAGCAATGGATTCTTTGGGTCCAATGTGGTAACCACCCTATGTCCAACATCGATATTGTATCCGACACATTAATGTTAACTATCATGGAAGGTTCAAGAAAAATTATGAGCGCCAACTACTTGTGCGCATGGGTATGTCAAAATGTTGTTTTTTATTTCTCAATCATTTTCATTTTTTATGGAAACAAAGTTAGTAAGTTGTACATTTGATGCTCAGGTTACGAACTATTACCTGAAATATTTGAGTCTATGCTTCAAGATTTGTGAGGAAAGAACAAGGAAAGATACAATTACATCAACCTTATCAACAAAGAAATGTGGACAAATGCATATGATGGTGGATATCGATATGGACACATGACGACCAACTTGGTTAAGGCTATTAGTTCGACCTTAAAGGAGACATGCCATTTACCAGTAACGACTTTGGTTAAAATGAAATATTTTCGTTTGGGAACGCTTTTTTCCAAGCTCGGGGGACAAGATCAAACTTGGATGAAATACAGTCATGTCTATCACCCAAGATTAGTTACAGATCTACAAAAAAGAATTTATGCATCAAATGGAATGTTTGTAACAAGCTTCTCTAGAACCTATGAATTATTCAGTGTCACAGAGATGTCGTAACCTCTTCAAGGGATTTAAGCTAATTCATTCAGAGTTAATCTATAAGACAGATTGTGTGACTGTGGATTTTTTCAAGCTTTGAAGTATCCATGCTCTCATGTCATAGTAGCTTGTTCTCATACATGTCAAGACTATAACCATTTTTTGGATCCCGTATATCGAATTTCAGAAGTGTTTAAGGTATATGAATTTGAGTTCCCACATATATAATGAGAAAAACCCTGATGAGATTCAGAATTGACTTCTGATTGTACCATATTCATCCTTATTGAGGGAACCTGGTTGTCCAAAATACACTCGTTGTGATATGGATATTCGGGAGATGTCCAGAGAAAACAAAACATGTGAGCATTGTAGAAACCTAGGACACAATAGGAGAAAATATCCATCTCTTTTGTCATCAAGTAATCGTTGATGTTGTGATTGACGAATTTGTTGTTTGTGAAATCTAAGTTTATGTTATTTAATTTTCATTTACTTTCAGTTAATTTCATTTGAGCATCACCGATTAATTGGCAAGTAAAGAAATTAAATAATAAAAATAATTTTGATCAAACTAAAAACAAGAAAACGATACAACTAAAAAGATAAAAAGAACTAAAAAATAAAAACAATTCTAACAATTAAATAATAAAAAATTAAGAAACAAAATAAATAAAAAGTCCATAATTAAATAAAAACTTTACAATTGCTAGTAAACAAACAAAATTAAATAAAAGAATAACAAAGTAAACAACTTTATCGATGCCGACGTCTTGATTGTTTGTGTCGATGGGGATTTCTTCATATAACTTGTTCTTCCTCCTCACTCTCATCATCATCATCATCATCATCATCATAATCATCATCAGAAGTAAATACATTTTGTTGATGAGGGATGAATAACGGTGTAACACCTCCATAGAATAAGGACCCTAGAGGTGTATGGCTGACTATCCCACCGCTCAAAGAAAACTGTGAAAAGTGTGAAAAGATCATCATCGATGAGTGTGAAAATTGCACCTGAGGTGTCTGTGAATGTGGTGAAGCTTCACCCGCCAAATAACCAGTATATGAACCCCAAATTAGATCTACAAGCTTAGAAGTATAATATCCGCCAAGAAGGGTTATAAAACTCTATGGCAAAGGCGACATTTGGTATGGAAGCGGTGGTGTATGACTCGACTGTAGTGGCATATGAAATGGTCGCGGTGCCATCTAAAACGACTAAGAAATATACAGTGGTGTAGACAGTGGTTACTGTGATGGTTCCGGTGTTGCAGTTGTGGAAGAGCCGAAAGTGCATGCTCTCTGTCCACTAGTTGGGCGACAATGATGCTGTGACGATGAATGTCTTTGTCAATGTCGATGAATGCTCCCGCCTCATACTTCATCTGAAAGTAGTAATAGTTTCCCGTTCGTGTTGAACCACTCATAATAATCATTCGTAATCGAGTAATGATCTATATAAATGGGTTTTGGACAGGGAATACACCTATGTCGATCCTCCCATATCATTACCAACTCAATGTGCTTCAACATCCAGTCAAATTCTTTTTTCCCCCGTCTATCGATGATATGCAAATCGTCGAAATTCTTAGGTGCTTCCAGAATATATTGTACAAAACCAAATTGGCAGAGCACGCGACCAGTAGGATACCACTCGATAATAGCATAACATATCAGAGGGACCACTGACATCCAGACATCTAATGAGCCTCTTAAGTGATGTGGGATGCAAATACTCATTTCTTTAGTACAAGAAGGAGCCCATTGAAACTAAAACAAATATATATAATTTTTATCCAAATAATATTCTAATTATATAATAATAATTAAAAGTAGATAATAATATTTCTTCCAATTTATCAGGTAAATCATGATGATCTTTTATTACACTTGACCCTATTCAATGAAATAATTTTCATTATATACTCAACAAAATTATTTCTATAAGAAATCAGTATTTAAATTACCTCAATAAAAGCGGGAAGACCAACAGATTTTTCACCACCGGACATAAAAAGGGCATGCAATACTACGCCCAAGACAGAGATGAAGGAGACATCCGTCGATAGTATTTTTTCGATAGTCAGTAGCTCGATACATTTTCCTATACAAAAATGCCAAAAATGCGGAGCCCCAACTAAGTGTGCTAGCATGATGAAAATCTACGAGGTGACGTAACCACATACAATGAACTTGGTTGCGTGATTTGTCGGGCATCAGAATCCCTTCTATGAGTGGTAATATGCAAGCTCATGCATAAATTTTAACCTGCTCCTTGGAGGTGTCGCCACTCAAATGTTTGAAAGTTGTATAGAACCAATTTAATAGAATTCGACCACCATTGAAATTATGCGGGACACATCCAAGATACTCCTCGGACAAGGAATGCTAATCACCATGCGCCACCCCAAAAATCACATCCTCATCTATCGAAAGCCCCCAATGCATGAAAATATCCTCCAGCGTAATCGTGCACTCTCCAAACAGAAGATAAAATGTGTGTGTCTCTGGTCTCCACCTCTCAACCAATGTAGAAATAAGGTAAGATTTAAGGTTACAATGCCCTTCATATTTTGTTACACAACCGAATCCAGCCTCGACTAAATACAGTCATACACGAGTATATATCTCTAACTTAAGGTTACGAATTAATTGATCTAATATACAGTTTCTCTCCTAATTTAATAAATATTATAGAAATTAAAATATAAACTAATATTAAACAAATTAAATAAATAAAACATTAACAACAATTAAAATTACAATAGAATTTAAAATTGTTATCGTATCGGGAAAAATAACTCGAGATATGATTCTCATCTAAATGTAGCAACCCACATTCCATTTTATAACTGCAAAAATTAATAAAAAGTTAGTATAATAAAATTTAATAAAATAATAAACTATTGATTTATTATAATATAATAAAAATATTTTACTTTCTTAATAGAAATATTGATACTCGGAAGAATGAAATAATTTGATATTTGAGTGTAGTTTAGATGTTGTGTTTGGAGAACAGGGGAGGGGATATTTATAGAAAGAGGAGAGAGGTACACGGGTTTCCCATAAATGTGGGAGGTTGACAGTTGGGGTATTAAAAGAAAAGTGCGAATTATTATCCGCGCCTTGCGTACGCGTGTCAGAAACCCTTAGAAGGCGCAGATCGCCATCTGCGCCTATTTTGATGTGGAGACAACTCGGACAGAACCCCGCCATTCGCACCTTGACAGAAAAAGTGCTAGATCGATAATATTAAGAGAAAGGATGTCTGACATATAATTATTACATGTACGGATGATATTTTGATAAAATCACCGTGTTAGCTTTCTACTTGTAAATATATTTTATTACTTATTTCTTTTTGACAAAGTTTGATTAAATGGCCTCTGCGCATTAACATAAATGATCAATCTCTCCGTTACTAGGTCAGTGCTTAAGTCACAAACACTTCTTCTCATAGAAGAAATGTGGGATCAGTTTCACAAATCATGACTTCCTTCTCTGCTGTTAATAAACTCCATTTTCGGTGGAGAATAGTGTTTCTTCTTCTTGGTTTTCTTGTGGTTCAAGGTCTGGGTTTAATTGCAGATGGAGTTCTTTTGCTTTCTTTCAGGGCCTCCATTCTCGGTGATCCTCTGCAAGCACTACAAAGCTGGAATTCCTCCGACCAGACACCTTGTTCTTGGAACGGAGTAACTTGTGTCAACTCTCGTGTTACAGCCTTGTCTTTGCCCAATTCTCAGCTTCTTGGTTCAATTCCGTACGGTCTGGGCACGATTCAATTCCTTGAAAAACTTGATCTTTCCAACAATTACCTTAATGGGTCTTTTCCTTTGTCGATTTTCAATGCGACTCGTCTTCGGTTTCTTGATTTGTCCAACAACTTGATCTATGGTGTGGTGCCGGAGACGATAGGAATGTTGCAGAGCCTCCAGTTTCTCAACCTTTCCGACAATGAATTGACGGGTACTTTACCCGCCACTCTTACAACAATCCAGAATCTAACTGTTGTTTCTTTCAAGAACAATTACTTCTCCGGCAGTCTTCCAACCGGGTTCCTGTCTGTTCAAGTTCTAGATGTTTCTGCCAACCTTGTCAATGGTTCTTTGCCGCCAAACTTCGGAGGTGACAATCTTAGGGACTTGAACGTTTCTTACAACAAGCTTTCCGGAGAAATTCCGTCCCAATTCGCAGAGAAAATCCCTGATAACGCTACTATTGATTTTTCCTTCAATAATCTCACCGGAGAAATCCCTGATTCCGTTGTTTTTACGAGTCAAGAATCCAAATATTTCTCCGGGAATCCTTATCTGTGCGGTGAAGTTACCGGTCGTGATTGTCCAATAGCTTTCTCACCGTCATCTTCTCCTCCGGCAATCGCAGCCATTCCCAAGACAATAGAACCATCTCCTGGAGCTAAAAGAACAAGACAAAACAGGCTCAAACCAGGAACCATAATAGGAATCATTGTCGGAGACATAGCGGGGATTGGATTTTTCATCATGGTTTTCTTTATCGTTTACAAGTTCAAGAGCCAAAAGAGAGTTGAAACTACAGCAAAACGAGAAGCTACTAGCGCGGGCAACGACGATAATTGGTCTACGTCGTTGTCAGAATCCAGAGGGTTTAAGAGATGGTCGTGTTTAAGGAACATAACAGAGTACGAGGAAGAATCCGAAACCATTTCCGAGACCGAAGAAGATCAAAGCGGGACCAAAAGTCAAGATAATCAACGGCAGCAAGGGCAAGAACACGACAAGAAAGGTACATTGGTGACCGTCGATGGTGAAAAACAGCTTGAGCTCGAGACTTTACTCAAAGCGTCGGCTTACATTTTAGGTGCGACGGGGTCTAGTATTGTGTACAAGGCAGTGCTTGGTGATGGGAGTTCTTTGGCGGTTCGAAGGATTGGGGAGAACAGTGAGGTTCGGTTCAAGGATTTTGAGACCCAAGTTCGAGTCATTGCTAAACTGGTGCACCCTAATTTGGTCAGGATTCGCGGCTTCTATTGGGGAGTCGATGAAAAGCTTATCATCTACGATTTTGTACCAAACGGCAGCCTCGCCAACGCTCGTCACAGTCAGTCCTCTTTTCTAACTCCCAATTTTATCACACTTTCCAAGTGAAACACGCGCACGTTAGCAATACTAACATGGGTATTTGCTAAACTGCGATGGGTACTCGAGTCTTGACTGGAATATTTGAAACAGAACCTAGTTGTTTAAAGAATGCGAAAGTGGGTTCAAGTCATACGTTTGCACATTGTTTTCATGCTTTACAGTTACTAAGTTTTCGTCTTTTTGTACTTTTTTCACCAGGAAAAGCTGGTTCTTCACCTTGTCATCTACCCTGGGAAGCTCGGCTAAAAATCGCGAGAGGAGTGGCCCGTGGGTTGGCATATCTCCACGACAAGAAACACGTGCATGCCAATTTGAAACCCAGCAACATTCTGTTAGGCTCCGAGCTGGAACCAAAGATAGGAGATTTCGGGCTCGAGAGGCTAGTAACGGGCGACACGAGTTCCAAAGCTGGCATCTCGGCTCGAAATTTCGGCAGCAAAAGATCAACAGCATCGAGAGATAGCTTTCAAGACCTAGCCGGACCTAGCCCAAGTCCAAGCCCAAGCTCTTTCTGCGTATCCCCTTACCGAGCCCCCGAGTCACTCAGGAGCCTCAAGCCCAACCCCAAGTGGGATGTTTATGCATTTGGAGTCATCTTGTTGGAGCTTCTGACGGGGAAAGTGATAGTGGTGGATGAGTTGGGTGAGGGGAATGGGATTGTTGTTGAAGACAAAATGAAGGCGTTGAGGATGGCTGACGCACCGATTCGAGGTGAATTGGCAGGCAAAGAAGAGGGGTTGTTGGCTTGTTTTAAGTTGGGGTACAATTGTGCATCTCCCATCCCACATAAGAGACCCTCGATGAAAGAAGCCTTACAAATTATTGACAAAATACCTTCTTCAAATTCACCTTCACTACACTGTTTAGGATACTGATAAACGTTGAACAAAATTGGAAGATTATATTTGTAGACAAAAATGTATGTGATGATCTATTGATAGTTTTTTTTTTCATTTTCAAAGTTTATTTCGAATTGAAAAATGTATAACATCATTATGTATTAGATCTTCTCGATGTGACACTTCTATGTATTACTAATTTTTAAACTTAACATTTTTAAATTCAGTATACAACATTCAAGATAGATAAATACCACACCAAATTCACATTTGATAACATTGATGATGTTTGAATAACATCATAATATACAATTCACATTTGATAACATTGGTGTTTGAATAATATCATAAACTCATATATGATAATAGTAACCTTTATTTTTCTTTAATTTATGTAAACAACTTATTTGTATCATAAATTCCTAATTATAATTCATATTTTAGAGTGTTCCATCAATTTTAAAATTTAAATTAACTCTTAAAATATCAATAATACTTAACTAATTTCGTCAATCTAACCATCAATTTTACTGCTTATCGTCACCTTAGATATAAGATATGTATATTGGAAACATGTGAATAAAAGTTTAAACACCATATTATATAGATAACATAAATATGACGAGTTAAAAAAAGAAGAAGAAATCGCATATCAAGTCTCGATGATATGGTTTGGTTTTCACAAACTCATATAGTTCATGCAGCAAGTACCAAGTATCGGCTTTTTAATGTTTAAATATAACTTCATGATAAATGATAATGTTATATCCGCTTGGAGATAAAATTTACACTGTTAATGTAATAATAATCATTTTAAATAGGTATAATGATATTTTTAGACTTCGTATGTCAAATAATTCAGACGATTTTATTTTTTGAAAATAACCAGGATATTTTATTTATCTAAAGTCGTATCAACAAACGTTTTACCAATTACAGACTGAACAAATACAATTGAGACTATCGAAAATAAAATATAACAATGACCACGTAGAGATCTCCTATAAACAAAACCATTAACAAGTGAAGTAATAACGTATAAAAACTGAACACACCAACGGCTCCAAGCATCAAACATGGAGGAGAGAAACTAGAAGAAGAACCAAAATGACCAATTGAAAAAACGATCTCCCCTTAGCAGCAATCCCATCTGGCACATATATGCGATAACCAATGAACCATCTTATACAAACGAGCAGAAGAACCATGCATAGGGAAAACAATAACCATATATTCAGGGAAAATAAAAAACCGAAAAGAAGACAATAAAAACCTACACCGAGAGTCCAAAAAACCAGAAGCCTTGATACCCTTTCTAGAGAAAGGGCCAAGAGTATTATTATAGTAAATACAATAAAACATAACTAAAAATGACAGAGTGTTGTTCTGAGAAGAACACCACCGCTGCCACGAAGGAAGAGGTTTTGAAAACTGCCCAATAAAATTTGTAACTTTCGCAAAGCAAAAAGTCAAAATAATGCACCCCATAGGATTCAAACTTTATTTGTTACATTACACGTGGAATTCGTCATGAGGACATAATAAGTTCCATACAATTTTCTTTCGTTCATATGACGAGCTTTATTTTTTAATATGTTTTATGGAACCCCCACTACAGTAAAAATGGTTTTTAACGGCGGATGTAGCGGCGTTTTTACTGAAAACGCCGGTAATTGTTTACATATAGTGGCGTTTTGAACAAACGCCGTAAAATACTATACTTTAGTGACGTTTGTATAAAAACGCCGCTAAATAATCGTAATGTAGTGGCGTTTTTATACAAACGCCGCTATAGACACATACTTTTGTGGCGTTTTAATACCAAACGCCGCTATAGACTCGTACTTTAGTGGCATTTTTACACAAACGCCGCTATAGACACGTACTTTTGTGGCGTTTTAATACCAAACGCCGCTATAGACTCGTACTTTAGTGGCATTTTTACACAAACGTCGCTATAGACACGTACTTTTGTGGCGTTTTTACACAAACGCCGCTATAGACTCGTACTTTAGTGGTGTTTTAATACCAAACGCCGCAATTGTCATATTACCTAGTGGCGTTTACGTAAAAAAACGTTGCTACTGAACACTACTTTAACATATCGAAACAAAACCCTAATTCCATAGATTCAGTCTGGGCATCGAAAAGAAAGCATTGCTTTAAAGGTCTCTAGGGTCTCGCACATCCAATTCAAAAAAATTTCTCTTCAAAATAGGGTTCATCATAACACCCCATTCTATTCCCACATAAACGATTCTTTAATTCTTCAGCAACCTTTTGTTTCTATTTATTAACGTCATTATATTCTTTTGGGATCCTAAGTTCCCCCAACAGCTTTGTTTCTGTGCACTTTCATCTTGTTGATGTTCTAAAATGGCGGCTCCGAGGAATGTGTTGAGGGACGAGGAGAGTGCTGCGGCGGCATTGTTAAGCATCAGTAGCAAGGAAGATGACGATTCTTCGTCGGGGAAGAGGTTAAAATCGGAGAGGTTCCCCGTTTCAAGGTGGGAATTGGCTGCCTTTTTCGGGGTTTTCTTGATTTTTTCTACCGGCTTGTTCTGTATCTACCTGACCATGCCCGCTACCGAGTACGGGAAACTCAAGATCCCTCGTTCTATCTCTAATCTGCGATTGCTCAAGTAGGATTCCCCCCCCCCCTTTATAATAAAAACTGGTGTTCTCTCTCTCAATTGATGAAGAAATAAGCTTAATTTGTGTGCCAAATCCTTGGATTTGATCATTGCTGTTGATTTTGGAAATGCCCATTTTAGATTTCTTGTGGTTTATATAGGATTTTGAGCTAGAGAGAACTATTGGGAATATTTTAGCTTATAATTGTAGTTAATTTTTTTTAAATTGAAATATGCCTCCTTTTTTGTGTTATATTGTAGGTGAAGATAGTTGTGGATGAGAACTCTTATCATTTATATTCTGCCCGGAATGAATCCTTTGATTTGTTTTGTCCTTAATGTGTAGCACTAGGGAGTTAAAAAGCAATCTATGACTAATGATGAGTTTAGTTCATATGTGGATCATGTGAGGGCATCGAATAATGCAAATTGTAGGGAGAATATTGCATACCGAGTATATCCAGCTATGTACTAACAATGCATTGTTGCTGAAATTACCATTCCTAATTTATTTATATCATGTACTTTAGTTTACTTGTTTATTTACTACTTTCTTGTTGCCGGGTGCTTCTACTTTGTCGTGAAACTTCTTTCTGTGATGTTTTAGCTGCAACTTATTTTACTGAAGTCCTTGTTTTTCTGTTCTTTTTCAGAGATAATATTGCAACATATGCAAAGGATTACCCAACACAATTCATTTTGGGTTACTGCTCAACTTATATCTTCATGCAAACTTTTATGATTCCTGGAACGATTTTCATGTCTTTGCTAGCTGGAGCTTTCTTTGGTGTTAAAGGCCTTTTCTTGGTTGTCTTCAATGCCACAACTGGAGCATGCTCCTGTTTTTTTTCTATCAAAGCTGATTGGCAGACCTTTGGTCAGTTGTTTGTGGCCTGATAAATTAAGGTTTTTTCAAGCTGAGGTATCTTCATTTTTCCTCTTGTTACTGTCTTTGGAACTATTCGTTCGTTCGTGTTTTCCCTCTTAATTTAGCATCTTTCACTTGTTTTACCCTATCTTCTTTTCTGTTACTGTTGGTATTGTCGCCTGAAAATGTCCGTTGAAAGAAAACAGATGCTTGTGTCATATCCAATTTATTTCTATGCCTTGTTTGTGAAGGTTTTATATTAATTGATGTGTATTCTTAACAATTTGGAATAAGAAAAGTTTCTACAAGATCACTATACATATCCATCTACATCAGTTTTCTACTTTTAGCCAAATATTGAGTTGTTCAACCATAGAGACTAACTAGGGAGATTTCTATAAAAAAAAGTTTGAAGTAGGTGCTTGTTGATAAAGAACCGATTCTTATTGTAATAGGGTTCTTACTTAATATATTACTGAATTTCCCTGGATACATTTTCCTAATGTCAGGTTGGGTTCAATGGATGTCATTTGGGTATATTTATTTGTCAACATCTAATGGATCATTCGTTGTAATGGAATCGAGTCTCTAACTTTGTGTTGAGACTTAATTCATTTCAATCCGTTGGTGTTGTATGCAAGTCAAATGATAGAAAAAGATGGCAGCCATATATATTCAGATAACTTATTTGATTTAAGACCACCATTGTATCTTCTTTCAGGCTGGCCTCGCACTCTTCAGGCTGGCCTCGCACTTGGGGATCTCAGGTCTGTTAAGGACCTCTATGATTTCAAGACCTTGTCCGTGCTTTTCCTTATCGGGATGGTCTCTATATTTCCTACCCTTCTGAAGAAAAAGAAGATATATGAATAAGGCCATGTTGGTGAAGCTTGTGGCATCCTCCTGACTGACAATGGAGGATCAAGAATACAAAATTTTACAATCTCCAAATTAGGATCTGAGAAACAATAGCGCATAATTGAAGATCCTCATTTCTGCAGCTGAATATCAAAAAAATCTAGGCATTGTCACAAAATATGAAAAGCACAGGGCAGGTAACTTTTATTCTTATTTTCATTGTTATGTTAAAGTCATCTCCCAATTAGATTATTTAGAACATTTGGGAGCCAAACTTTTCTTTTTACTAGAAATGCTTTGTACGCCATCGTCTCCAGTTTTACTTTTACAGACAGCACTACATGATAATGTTGCTGTAGAATATGTAAAAACTGTACTCATATGTAGTGTATTCAGTAATAATAGTTTGTCATTTTAGATATAGCTGACCTGTGCCGTTCTTTTTCTGGGTTCAACATTCACTATAAGCAGATAAAGCTTTCATGGTTCCTGACTTCCTGTTTTTGTTGTTTGTTGCAACATCTTTTTTCAGTTCTCAATCACTCACATGTAGGTTATGAATGCAAGTTCTGCTGGTTGTTTCCTTCTCTTCTTAGTCTCATCTAAATTATTGTAATTGTAGTAATCTTAAAGAACAAACTTCAACAAAAAGCGGCTTCTTTAATAGACTGGCACAACGTTTCCCATTTGTTTTTAATCTATTGAGGAGAGATCATTCACTGTCAAATGATACTTTCAAATAAGATGTCAAGACGATGAAT